GGGGGGGGGGGGGGGGGGAAGGCAAGAGAAGAGAAGGGCAACACACCGCACCGCCCTCGGCATTCAAGGTATTGCGTGCATGGCATGCTGCCAACAGGTATCGGAACATGTTTTGCGCCAACAAGCCGCTGACGATCCGCAGACAGCTGGTCCCGCACAAGGACGGCGCGCAGACGGCCCTGGACTGGTATGAGGAGAAGGACCCCCACACTCTGCGGCCGCTGGCGCCCAACGCGCCGGTGGTCATCCTCTGCCACACCATCAACGGCGACAGCGAGCAGTTCAAGCTCATGGCCTACCACCTGAGGCAGAAACAGGGCTTCCGATGCGTCTGCCATGTCAGAAGGTAGGCGGTGCGCATGGCATGCATTAAGAGAGGGGAGGGGAGGGGCTCTCTCTGCATTCATTGTGTGGTGCTGTCTGTGTCGTGTGGTGTGGTGTGGTGTGTGCCCTGCAGGGGGTATCACGGCGTGAAGCTGACTACGGCAGAGTTCGACACGATGGGCTCATACAATGACACCGAGGAGGCCATCGCTGAGGTAGGTCGCAACACTCACACAGCACTCTCACTCACACGCCACACGCACAGAGACTGAGATGCCCCATGGGTATGTATCTGTGTGTGTCCTGTCCGCCCACACATGCATGCATCCGTCCGCAGATAGAGCGTCAGTACCCGCACGCCCCCGTGCTTCTGGTGGGCATGTCGGCTGGCACCGGGCCTGTGGTGCGCTACCTGGGCATCAGCAGGGACAAGTCGAGGGCGGTGGCAGGTAGGAAGGAGGGTGGGACATCACATCACCCCTACCGACGGGTGGCTGGGCTGCACTAACCAGGACACATCTATCCATCCATCAGGCTGCCTGATATCACCGGGGTACGACATCCAGAGGTGTTTCGGAAGGTAAGGTACACACCTACCTAAACCCACCCACACACACACACATCGGCACGCCATGCAAGGGGCAACAATGCTCATGCGCATGCTCATGCTCATGCTCTCCCTCCCTCCCTGCCCAGGTTTGAGTGGCCGTATGACTGGATCGTCATTCAGCGGCTCCGTGAGTATCTGAAGCGAAACGCCCGGGAGATCCTGGGGCTGCCCCCTTTGCCAGACGCCGACCAGCCAGGCAGCCACGCCCCCCATCACCATCACCATCACCCCGACCACCACACGACGGCCATCACGCCCATCCACCCCGAAGAGGAGAATGCCTCCATTGCACATCCGCCGCTGCTGCGGAACCTGATGCTCAAGCGAGAGCTGGATCGGGGCAATGGCAATGGCACTGGGGAGAGGGAGAGGGAGAGGGAAAAGGGGGTGGTCATGGGCAAGTTGGAGAGCCTGCGGCGGCGCGTGTATGAGTTCATTCTGAATCGCTGTGCAGATCTGCAGGAGGTCGGTGGGAGGAACGGAGACATGCTTTGTGGCATTGTGTATGTGTGATTGTGTGTGTGTGTGTGTGATTGTGTGTGGTCAGCTGCACGATTCGTTGCATGTGTTTGCGGGTTACACGTCTGCGGAGGACTACTACAGGAACTCCAACCCCATGAACGTCGTGTACGACATATCGGTGCCCTTCCTCGTGGTCAATAGCCTCGGTCAGTCAGTGCCGTGCCTCAGCCAGCCAGCCAGCCACCCATCCAATACGCACCGATAGACACACTGGACACACTGGACGGACGCATGGGTGTGGGTGTGGGTGTGTGTGCTCAGATGACCCCTGCACCATCTCTGCCAATATCGAGTATGAGCTCTTCCGCAAACAGCCTAATGCACTCCTGGGTACCCAAATGACACGCCACAGCACAACAGCACTGTTTGTTCTTCACTCACTTGGCTGTTCTTTCCTACCATCCATCAGCTCTGACGAAGCACGGGAGCCACTGCTGCTTCCTGCAAAGTGAGAACCTACAATGGCGCCCAACAGGCGCCATACATTGCCGGCCGCCATTCTTGTCTCCATCTTTGTGTGTCCAGAATCCCAGCCGTTGGGCCCGTCGTGGGTTGAGGAGCTCGTAGGCGAGTACTTCTCGTCGGTTCTGTCGCAGCTCAACATCCCCTCCCACCACACGCAGTCCATCGAGGACCCCATACCCATTCCCACCCCCCCTCCCAGCCCAACAGCGACACCCTCAACCACCACCACCACCACCAACCCGCCCACCTTTCCCCTTGGCCGCCACCCACACGTGAGCAACATCGACATGGACATGGACATGGCCTCACTCGCCATCCCAGGGCTGGTCAACACCTCAGCTCTCGCGGCCTTCCACCCCCACCGCCACCCCCACCACCAGCACGAGAGCGAGGTGAATGCGGGGGACGAGCATGAGCATGAGCACGAGTCACACGAGGGCGAGGGAGACGACGCCGATATGGACATGGACAGTGGGGAGCGGGGGGAGCGGCGCGAGGGCGGCAGGTGGTGTGGGGGTCAGGGTCAGGGTCAGGTGCAGTCGGTGACGTTTCAGCTGTACATTGGCCGGAGGGTCACGTGTGCTGCGACCTGATGGATTGATGTTTGTTGTGAGTAGAGATGACATGAGCGAGGAGGGAGGGAGGGAGGGAGGACACACGACACGTTTTGACGTAGACACAGAGACACAGGGAGAGAGAGAGAGAGGAGGCAGCCGCAGGTTGTCGATTTTTGTACCTATAGAGGGAGGGAAGGAGGGAGGGGGAGGGCCTACGCTAGTCACCTTTGCTCTTACCAGTTTTCCCTTTTGCACTTTTCCTCCTACCGCTGTGCCGTGTGTGTGTGTTGTGCAAACGAATTCGGGCGGGTTTCTGTACAGTGACCAGACAAGACAACGGTTGTGTGTGTCGACCCGTCTTCGTATCTTGAGTGTGAGTGTGCGCATCAAAGCTGCGGGCAGACAGGAGGGTGGATGGATGGATGGCACAGAGAGGCCCGTCTGTGAGCATCCATCCGTCGGCCTGTCTGTGACCATCCACCCGTCCGAGTGAGGAGAGTAGAGAAGAAAGCACACACGCCATTTTTGCGCTAGTTAGCGAGTTGCACCAACAAGAGCGTGAGTAGGGTGGCCGTCTTTCAATCAACTGGCTGGCTGGCTGGCTGGCGAGCGACACAGTTTTGCCCTCTTGCCGTGTGCAGGTGCGTTGTCACGTGTTGTGCTGTTGTGGCTGGCTGGTGTGGTGGTGGCTGCCCGGCTTCTCCCTCCCTCCCTCCCTCCCTCTCTCTCCGCTTTATCGTTTTGGCTTTCTCCGTTGGTGAGCAAGCGAGTGGCCGCTGGATGTGTGTGTGCGTGTGTGTGTGCGTGTGGCCACATGGCGTGTAACATAACACAAAGCAGCTAGATGTCTTCGTTCAGGCGCCGCGAGAGCGAGAGCGAGAGGCTGCTGGTGGAGCCGGATTGGTTTGACGAGAAATGGCTGTGAGAGTCACTTTCTCACAGCCATTTCTCTCCAGCCCAATCCTGCCAGACCAGGAGCCTATCCCTGTGTCTTTGTGTATCTGTCCGTCCGGTGCCCCTTCCACCAGCAAGCAGTTTCGGCTGTGTGTGTGCCTGTCGCTGTGACCGCACCGTGTTGTCTTGTGTTGTGTTGCATTGCATTCCATTGCCCCCTCCTTGTGTGTATGGGATGTTCCCCCCTCCTTGCCCGCCCCTCCCCTGTTTGTTTCCGGCCGTATCTATCGTGCGTGTGTTGCTGCAGTTTTCCCCTCATGGTCCGCATTCGTGTCTGCGTGAATGCATTCCATTCGTGGGCCAGCTGGTGTCGGTTCCACCTTTTTCGTAACGGATGCAGGCAGCCAGGCAGGCAGCCAGGCAGTCGGGCAGGAAGGCAGGCGCTGCATCGACTCCACCACGAGAGGATGGGTGCGGTTGGTAGAGGTGGGGACGGAAGGACGGATAGCTATGGACCCCAGCCTCACTCACCCCTTGATCTGATCAATCAGTGAGTGACTTGATCATGACACGAGCAGATGAGATGGATGGGATGGGCGGCGTGAGGTAGGTGAGTTCGTTCAGCTTCGAAATTCGCCAGCTATTAGGTGGTGGGGGCTTACTTGTGGAGCTTGACTTGACAGATAGCTAACCTGATGACTGACTTACCTGGCTTCTTCTCTCTGACGTATTTGTTGATAGCGCTCATGACACTGGTAGGTAGGGTGCACACAGTGAGTGGCTGCTGTGTGTGGGGGGCGTGTGTGTGTCCGGAACGAACTGTCGTGCTGTGTCTGACATGCTGCTTGCTGGCCGTGTGTAGAACCTACCGACTGCTTGCCTGGCCTGCCTACGATGTTCAATCCACCTGACAGCAGTAAGCACTCACTCGTTCACTTCAAACCGTCCGTCCGCCACAAGTCCCTCCCTCCACCCACCACCGTGTCCGTCGCATGTATCACGCCGCGCACAACGCACAGCGCGACACAGCGTCTGTCGCATCTCCCTCAAAACGTGTCTTGAGAGCTACTCCGCAACACTCGCCACACCCACCGCCCGTCCGCCACACCCACCGCCCGTCCGCCACACCCGCCGCCCGTCTGTCTACTTGGCGGCTGGGCGTTTCTTCTGTGCGGGTGTTGTGTGGCCCTCGCGGAAGCCGTTCTTGGCGAGGCGGGGCAACTTCTTCAAATAGCGCATTCTGACAGACAGACAGACAGACACCGGCACACAGAGCGCTTGGTGTGTGTGGGTCAGTTTGCTCAGTCGTTCGTTCGCCCACCTGCCGGTGCCAGTGGTCGTCCGCCGCTTGGCCTTCTCGCTCCAATTGTAGCTGCGCTTCCTCGCCGCGGGGTAACCTGACAGACAGACAGACGAACGATCAGGAGTGCGAAGCGAGCCAAGCCACTCGGTAGATCAGATCTGCAGATCTGGCCTTGCGTGTCGTGTGTGTGAGAGATCCGCGTGTTCGTTGCCCCTCCCCGCCCGTCCTTACCGCATGCCGCGCAGACCTTCTTCTGGATGTGGAACGCCCGCTGGTTACAGCGAATGCACAGCGTGTGGGTCTTGCCGTTCCGCTTCCCGAAGGAGCCTGCGTCACAGACAGACAGACGGACAGACAGACAGACAGACAGACAGACGGGTGTTGAAGGGGTGTGTGTGGGTGAGGAAGGACTTTGGGTGCGTGTGCGTTACCTGTTCCCTTGCCGGCCTTCCCCATTCAGATGACACGGCGTGCGTCAACTGAACCGAACCACAGAAGAGGAACGTGAGATCTGGCTGTTCAGCACTTCTGCTTCCCTGTTTTCTCTTCCTCACCTCTTGTGACTGCGAGCTAATCTTTGCGAAAACCCTACACCTTCGAACCCTGTAACCTATCGCCTCGCGCTTTTTCCACTACTCCACACAATTGTTGTGTTGCAGCCCTGAATCACGCCATACGCCGTCTGCGTTCTGCAGCTTGCCTTGGTGGAGACAGAGGGCGGCCCCAAGCCGGAAGGCCTCAACCAGCAGTAACTCCCTCTTGTTTTGGTCCGCACTGTTCAGTATGATTCCGAGAGGAGAGGCTGTGAGGCCGCCTCAATCAGCTGGGGACGAATGCCGAAACCAGCCAGCCGCCCTCTCGACCTTCTCGTCCAATCTCTCATCCTCAGTCAGCCTGTGGAGCCAACAGCAACACGACGTTGAAGAGAAGGACAAGACACTGTCAGCAACTGGACAAGGAGACCACATCACGGCCACAACGCATGGCGACGATGAAAGACGGGCATCTGTCACGAGCACAGCCGCGACAGCGAGCAGGACGTTGTCCTCTTGCCGTGAGTTCGATGCGATGGTTGGTGAATTCAGGTACGGAATATTCATTAATGAATCGTGATAGCGAAAATTTATCTCATTTATCTCTTTTGTTGCTGCGTTCAAATGTCTCTCGGTTCTCCTGGCCTGTTCAGGGAGGCTGCAGGATATGAAGCGGCATACGAAGAATATGCGACAAGCCTCGAGTACAAGACGATACACCATCCAAACGGCACCAGGACAGAAGTACTTGTCAGTGCCACGTTTCAGCCGGAGCCGCTTTGGATGACTGCGAGACGGGTTTTCGTATTCGCAATGCAGCAGTTAGCGGCCACCTTCGCCATCGCCATTGTCCTCGTTGGCGCTGCTGCGATGTACACGTACTCGTGCATCTCGAGCACCTTTGGACCGGTTTTCGACATCTCTCGAAGGATGCTATTGTCTCTCGCATTGCCTCTCTTTGCCGTGCACATCACGACGGGACCGACCTGCAAAGAATGATGACGCGGCTGAAGAAGGAGGTGGTCCTCTTCCTTCCACCAATGGCGCTCAGTCTCTTTATCTCAATTGATCATCAGCTCGATCCCGACGGCCATGAGAGAAGACAAATCATTGCTTCGATCATGTGGAGCTCAACATATGTAGCTGCCTGTGTGTACTTCCTTCGCACTGCGGGGTCGCTGGGTATGAGGGCCAAAAGAGATTACACGATTAAAGCGTGCGCAGCCTTCGCGATGGGATACACAATGGGCCTAATTTGGATCCACGCCCTTTCGCCAAAGTACGCTACTGCAGCATCTACTGATAGGGATCGATTACGTTTGGCTGTCATCTACCTAGCCGTCTTCTTCCCCCCTGTCGGACTTGTCAACAAGCTCGTGCGGTCACTGAAAGTACGAATGGACACACAGAGACACGGCCACAAAAAGGCAGCGGACTTCATTTCTCACGATCCAATGTGTATTCAGGAGGGGCCCCCAACATCAATTCGCTGCTTATCACGATGCCCTGTATGGTGTACATTCTCTTCCCGAGAATGCTTCAGTCCGAGGCCATCAACTTCAGAAGCAAATTGGTCCACAGCGTCTCAATGTCACTCTTCGACCTGATCATGGATATCTCATCGCCCTACGGTACGTGCGTCAGTGGCCATGGAAAGATGAATGCATTCTTATCCAATTATTTTTTCTGTTTGGGTGTATTCAGCGATCCTGCTGTATCTGTGGGCTAAGAGGCTTGTCACGGCTCGCTGCAAGAAAGGAACACCCACAGCTCATCACCTGACGAACATCGCCCTCGCCACAACCAAGGAGGAGGCTATAAGTGGGCCACCTATTGGCAAAGAAAATGATGCTATGGATGCTGTGGAGAGGCAAGAGAGCCAGAGAAATGACAGCCATCTGCTGAGGCGCCAAAGCTCTATTATGAGCACAGCGCTCTCTCTGAGCGGCGCACAGCCGGGGTGCGGTCCTACCGGAGGGCTGCAGTCGGCCTTGACCTTACTTGAACTGTCTCCAAGGTATCCCCAGTCATGGTACACCATAAAGCACAGAGATACTGTGTGTTCATACTCTTTTCTCCGAAGGTACCTACGTGGCCTCGCTGATCAGACCCACATCTGGTCCAATTGCGAGTTGACGGCACTTCTCTTTACTAACCTGAGTGTGCTTACGGTCCAAGCTTGTGCGGGCGCACCATGGAAGCAGCTTGTGGAGGAAGGCATCGGTTTGGTGTTACTGGTGGCTATCGAGCAGCTATTCGAGATGTGTGTGATGTGTGTCATGATGAGATGGAACAACCTGCCCATGCTATCCTCCAGGCACGAGAAAGGCGTTGTGCGCCGCAGACTACTGACCTTGCTCCTGGTCGCCATCTTCTGGTCAGGCGAACTGTTTAATGTCCTCGTGCACGTGCTCACCGCACGTCTCTCTGTCTCTCTGTCTGTGTGTTCGTGTGTGCAGCATTTTCAGCTGGCTGCCATTTCTCCACTTGTCTTTGCAGCGCGCAGTCAGCCGCACAGTTGCGAAGCCCCGATTTGTGCTGCAATCGGAGCCGCACACTGCCAACTGCCCATATTTTTCCGTCTAGAATGAATGAATGCATAGGGAGCCGGGCTATCACCGCCACGCAGGCAGAGTCTTCGTATGTATACGTCTCGAGAACGCCGGTGAGAATTGTCTGTCTCAGTTGAGTGTAGATCAGATCACAATGGCCCGTCACAATTTGATTGGAATGAATTCATATGGGGGCGGGGAATTCAAGGGATGGGCACATAGGAGAGGAGCCTGGAATGGGTCATCTGGATGCACACAGGTCGTCCCTGAGTGAGTGAATGAGTGAGTGAGTGAGATATGCTGTGTTCATTGCAAAGCAGAGACGGGTCTCAGACTGTATGCTGTGCACGCCTGTGTCTGCCAGCTCATATCGTGACGTCACGCCACGCACGCCAAGTATGGCACAATTAAAAAGACAGACAGGCAAACACCCGCGCATCCCATGCGCACGGCCATGCGCTTACAGACCTGAGGCGGAGACACAACTTTCGCCAACAATGAGTGACGAGGGGGACGAGCCGACGATTCCCTACTCAGTCAGATACCTGAGCAGACAACTCTCTGGTCCATGCTGCTATGCTGGTGGCCAGGGTCATGTTGTGAACACTCAGTGACAATTGTGTGTGCCGGTACCCTGTGTACCCGCGTGTGTGTGTGTGCACGTGGATGGGGCGTGGACGGAGTGGGGTGTGTGTGTGTGTGGATGATGTGGACAACGAAGGCTGTTCCAGCCAGCCACGAAGAAGGGAAGAAGGCATGATGGATGTATTGCAATTTGTGTCTCGACATTCATTCCTTCGTTCGTTCAACACATGTCGGTCGGTATGAATGCGTCGCTACCTCAACACAGAGAGAGAGAGGGGGTCATGCTGCAGTCCATCCATCCATCCATCCATATGTCTGTCTGTCTGTCTGTCCGCAGGCACGTTCGTGCGCAGGAGACACACGCACACACACGCACACACACGCACACACACACATCCATCATCAATCCATCGGTGCACATGATGCCCACCCACGGCAATCCAATCTATCTAACCACCACACACGCATAGCATAGCATAGCATAGCATAGCACACACACACATCGACTCGACCGACCGACCGACTGATCTACAGCACTCAAGCGAGTAAAGCACTGGCCCGCCCGTTTCGGGAAAGGAACACTGTCAGTCGGTATATAAATAAAGAGAGAGGTCCAGGCAGACAGGATGGGATGTTTGTGAGGGTTGCTGAGTCAAAAATCGTCTAACCCGCCCGCCCATGGACACCCCCACGACAGACATGACACACACGAGTCAGTCAATGCAATCAACGAGTGACGCGACCACGCAACGTCGTGAAAAATGCCCACAGCCACCAAGGCCTTCCCTTCCCCACCCACTTCAGGATGAGAGCATGTCGGTGTGACGTCTGTCGACGCACAGCCGATTCATTCATCCGACAAGCCAACAGACAGACAGACAGACAGACAGACACACAGACAGAGGTCAAAACACACAGGCACCGCACAGGCAGTCAGACTGCCTGTGCATCGCAGCCATGTCGTCCATTCAGAGTCATGTGGAGGCAGACAGACAGACCTCCATTCCATGGCAAGGCCATGCACTCTCTCTCTCTTCTCTCCTGTACAGGCAGGCACTCGTGCACCCTCACGGACGGAGCTTGAAACAAAAAGGAAGCAAGGCTCGCTGGCTGCAGGTCTGTCTGTCTGCAGCCACGCCTGGCGTGTGGCCAGCGACCAGCAGAGCCCAACACACACACACACACACACACTCACACACACTCACACACACACACACACAGAGGAGAGAGGAGAGGAGAGGAGAGGGACAGCGACAGACCGACAGACACACACAGACACAGCACAAACAGACAGACAGTGCCAAAGGTGAGTGAAGGGAAGCGATGAGAGAGTGCCAAACACGCCAGGAATGAAATCACTCAATCGTCCCGTCCCGTCCCGTCCCGTCTTGTCTCGTCTCGTCTCGTCATCTCATCTCATCTCATCTCATGGTTGCTGTGTCTGCACCACACACACACGCAGAGAGAGAGGCGTCTGTCGTGTGGTCATGTAGCCGACTCCATGTCTGTGTGTGTGAGCGTATGGGTGTTGTTGACCTGCAGGTGCGATTTGAGGTCGTCCAGTGAGGTGAACTGATGCTTCTCGCCAGCCGCGGGGCGGTACCTGACACCCCAGACAAACACACACACACACACACTCTGTCTGTCTGTCTGTCTGTGGTGCTCTCTCACAGCATGAAAGTGTTGTCCGATGCGTCATCCTCCAGTACGAAGAAGAGCGTGTGTGTGTGCTGCTTCGACAGCTGCGAGTAGGCGTCCAGCAGGCCGTTCTGGCGGCTCTCAGCCGACGGCTTCAGCACCACCGCCTCCTAAACACAGCACATCCACACACGGTGAGGTACGTGCTGAGCTGAGCTGTGCTGTGGTATGCTGTGGTGACTGACTGACCTTGTTGAGCTTCTGGACGATTTCCTCGGTGAATGACTCGTTGGCGGCCATGCAGTAGTGGTATGAGGCCTGGAGGAGCCTGACGACCTCCGAGTAGGCGTACCACTCGGGCACGTTCTCGCCCGCGTTGATGCGCCGACGGAACTCGGTGCCTGAGATGTTCATCGTCTTCAACCTGCAAACACGCAGACACACGACACACAGAGGGAGAGGGAGGGGGAGAGGAAAATGGTGCAGGTGTGCTGTGCGGTGTGGTGTGGTTGGGGGAGGGTGGGAGGGGGGGATGGGGGGAATCAGACGCACCCCTGTTCCTTTGCGGCCTCCTTTGTAACGTATCTGTCTTCGTCTGGGTAGTAGACCATCGCCTTGAAGGGGATCGTCTTGATGCCTGATCCATCCATCCATCCACCAACCACACACACACACACACACACGTCGTGTCACACGCCTCCCTCCTGCTCAGTCCCCGAGAGTGAGTGAATCTGCCGCCGCCGCACCGATTTCGTCTTCATATTTGGCGGCGAGCTCCTGCGCGTCGTAGGGGCCGTAGAAGTCATTACCGGCCTTGTCCTTGCAGCCAGCGTGGTCCCTGCCGACGATCATCTGGGTGAACCCGTAGTTCTTGCGGGCGATCATGTGCTGGATCGTCTCACGCGGACCACCTGCAGGGCAGGCAGGGCGGGCAACACATCACACCACATCCAGCCACACCACACCACACCAGATGTGCACGATGCATGGATGGATGTGTGTGGGTGTGAGTACCGACCGAGTCTCATGTGGTAGGGGAAGTACTCGATGAAGATCTTCTGCTTGGACAGCACCGGCTGCAGGGCCTCGTATGTCGGCACTGCACACACAAGTCGGTATGACAGACAGATGGGTGGACGTCTGTGTGGGTGTCTGTTTGTCTTTGTTTGTGCGTGTGATTATCTCCACATACCCCTGATAGCGGCCTCAAAATCGTCATCCTTCGACGGCCCAATCGCTGCCACACATAACACACACACACACAGAGAGAGGCATGTCCACATCCGGTCAGGCAGATCGAAGCATGTGTCACCCTCCCTCCCTCCCCCCCTCCCTCTCTCCCTCGCTCCAGGGTTGCATGCTTACTAGGGTGGACGACGACCGGTATCTCACCGTCCCCGGCCACCTCGGTGAACATGGCCACGTGAGCACGGTGCAGCGGATTGCGGCACTGAAACACCACTACCTCCTTCTCACCATCAAACTTGGCTCGCAATCCTATGCACAACACACACCAGCAGTGAGTGCAATCCAAGGCACAGCACACACATTGTCCTCCCTCCCTGTCCTTGTATCTCTCTGTGGTGGTGATGTGATGTGATGTGATGTGATTTGATGTGTTTGGTGCGGCTGTGTGTTACGTACGTTTGGGTGTGAAGACTTTCTCGGGCGGCAGGAAGGCCCGCTGCGGCAGCTGGATGCCCCTGACGTTGCCGCCGACGTAGGTATGGCCCATGGCGCTGTAGAGGTAGCTCACGAAGGGGTGCTCGTCACTGTCAGTGCCATACACTGATTCAGACACACACACACAGACAGACAGACAGACAGACACGATTGGTGCGGTGTGGTGGTGTGGTGGATCGCTCATTGACCTTCTTTGGCCTCCTTCTGTTTGTCGGGTTTGTAGACGGACGTGACGTCGAGGATGGCCAGGGGGCCGCCGTGAGCTGACGAGTGCAGCAGCACCTCGTCGCCAACCTGAACGAACGGTTGATAGAGAAAGAAGTCACACAGAACACAGACGACACAACGAGGAAGGGGATGGATGGAGTGATCATGCGTGTCACTCGGCGGATGGTCCTTGCTTGCCTTGATGCTGTCATCGCTGACGTCAAGGACCACAGGCAGCCCCCACACAGCACCTACACACAACAAAACCCAATAGAGCTCTCTCTCTCTCTCTCTGTGTGTGTGTGTGTGTGTGCCAAGGTGTTCGCACCTTCGGGCAGTCTCATTTCCTCCAGACAGTGTGTGTACTCGTCGAGGGTCATGAAGCCCGTCAGCGGGGTATGCGCCCCGTTCATGAGCATCTCGAGGTCGCACACCTGCCGCTCCGTCAGCTCGGTCGTCCGCGACACGCGCGACACGTCCGGCACCGACTGGCCGTCCTTGGGCAGCAAATCAACCTGATACACACACATTGATGAATCGTATGAGGTTGGGAGCGTTTCTGTCGTACGAGGGCCTGGCCGCCGTGTGGCGCTTTCTTGGAGTTGGAGACCCGAGTGTGGATGCCGCACTCGGTGGCGACACGCTTGACGAACCGACCGTCGCGCTCTGACCACACACGCACAGAGGGATAGATGGGCTGCACAGAGGGACCCCCCCTCCGCACACACACACACCCACCTGAGTTGTTGATGGGGACGGGCACCGACGTGTGGAAATCGCCGAAGGACTTCCACACATACCTGCACCCACCGTTAGGCCATGGCAGCACAGCACATGGGGCACACACAGTGTGGTGTAGTGTCAATCAATGTGTGTGCCGAGCCTAGCTCCTAGCTGGACTGGGGTGGCTTATTCACTCACCCACTTACCACTTGCTGCCGGTGTTGCCGAGCATCTTGTGCAGCGCGTCCTTGGAGTAGTAGAAGTACGGCCGGTCCAGAGTCATCTCAAGAAAACCCTACACGCACACACACACACACACACAGAGAGAGAGAGAGAGAGAAAGAAACCGGTCTCCCTGACACACATCTATCGCGTGTATCTGAAGCACCCACCCCAGCCGCCCACCCCGCCCACCCCGCCCACACACGCTGCGCACCTTGTAGGTGTCCCGTTCCTTGGCGGCCACCTCCCTGTCAGCGAGGTACAGCCGCTTGTGCAAAGGGTTGACGGGGATGTCGAACACCCGCGCGTACTCGACTACATCCTACAACGAATGGGACACAACACCTCTCTCTCTCTGTCTGTCTGTCTGTCTGTCCCCCTCTCCCTCTGTGTGCGGGCCTGGCTGCATAGGCACGTGTGCGTGTCGTACCTACCTCCCAGGACCACTCTACGAGGGGGTTGAATGTGTTCTTTTCGGCCTCCCAGATGGGCACGGCCGTCCGCGCGTTGCCCTGGTCGTTCCGCCGGCCCGTGATGACCACCGCGCCATCCAGACTCATCAGCGCCTTCTGCAGGGGCTCCACCTTGCTCTTGAGGTCAAAATCGTCGTCCTTCATCGTCAAAAACGAACCTGACTCGCACACACAACACACAAGACAAGCACCGACACACATCTCATCTCCACCTTGGAACTAGACGGATGGATGGATGGATGGATAGCCACACACACGCACAACCACAGGCACAGGCACAGGCCGTCAGGTCAGTACCTACCGTATTTCTGCTGGAAGTCCTCCCTGGTCTCGCAGTCGATGGGCTTGTACCACTTGATCTCAATAGGATACCTTCACACAACACCACATCACACAAACAGGGGGGATGCACCTCTTTCCTTTGCCACCCTGCCCGCCTGCCTGCCTCCCTGCCCCTCCCTCTGCTTGGTTCGCCACTCACCCACCTGTTCTGCATCTCAGCGGCCACTTGTCTCGTCTCGTCAAAAATGTGGAGGGTGTCCACGGCAATCAGAGAGAACGGGCCGTCCACATACCTGCACACACCCACACACACACGCAGCAGATACCCATGCATGCAATGAGCAGATGCATGCATCACCCACCGCCCGCCGACCTGTGGAAGAGGTCCGCAATGACGTTGTCAGTAATGAGCCACGCCGTGATGAGCACCCCCGGCTGCCCCTTGAGCGCCTCCGCCACATCCTCCTGGAACTTGCGCACCTTGTCAGCCAAAAAGTGGCCCTCCGGCAGCTGCGCCGGTGGCGATTGGGCCGCCCCGCCCAACCCCTCACCGTACTCCTTGCCCCACTCGGTGCGCGTCGGCGGCAGACTGGTGCTGCTGGTGCTGAACCATCTCGCGCGTGACGATGGGATCCCTGTGGGCAGCATGGCGCTCCGTCTGCTGCTGCTCCTGGTGGTGGTGCTGGTGTTGCCGGCATAGTGAGATCTGGCAGGGCTGCAGGGGATGACGCAGGGTTGGCCTGCGTGGGAGTGGAAGGCGCGCGCGCCGCTGGCCGCCAAAGAGGCGCGTCGTGTGAGGGGCAACATGCCGACTGAATGACTCACTCGCTCAGTCAGTCAGTCACTCAGTCACTGTGGTTGACTGACTGGAGTGGTTGGCTGCTGGGGAGGAAGGTGAGATGAGGTGAGATCCGATGAGGCCAACCTCCTCCCTTCTCCGAAATGAAATGGTCCTCTCCACGCGATCCGCCCAGCGATTTTCTCGCACATTCCTCTGCAAGCTACTCTGCGTGCTGCGTGAGATCTCCGCAGAAGATCATCTGCCAACCTCGCTGAGAGAGATCCACTGAGGACAGGACAAGATGCGAGGCGCTCTCTCTGTGGTGGCTGCCCTTGCGCTCCCTGCCGGAGATGCTGCCTACGTCCTCCCGCACGCACACACGCCCCCAAGACGCCCTGCCATCCACCGCTCAACAGGCGTCCGCAGCCCGTTTGGTGGTGACGCAGATGATCTCCCGCAGCCTTGGAGCGTGATGCTTTCATCGTCAATCTCGCTGGGCGGCGGAAGTGGCACCGAGAGGGAGCTGCGTCGGTTAGAGAGGGGAGGGGTGGAGCTGTTCCCACTGCCGACCATTGACGAGGACGAGAAGGACCGGCCGCCCACACTGCCGTCGGGCGAGTTCAGGTCAGTCAGAACTGCTGCTGCTGACCTGACTGACACACGAGTGGATGGAAGGATGGAGAGCTTTAATGCTCGGCTGCATTTGGCTGGCCGTCATTTGCCTGTCTGTGGTGGGTGTGTGTATGCTTGTGTCTGTCAGGCCGAAGCAGAGTCTGGGTCAGAATTATCTGTCCGACCAGAACTATGTCCGCAAGATCTGCGACGCCCTCATCGACACGAGGTACGGCACGTACCTCACGTCAGCGCGACAGTCACAGCAACCAAGCCATGACGGTGGCATGGCGTGTGCTGGCCGTTGTTCCTTGCTCTCATTCATCCATCAGTGAAGGTGGCAGCCGTGTGATTGAGCTGGGTCCCGGTGCGGGTGCGCTGACTCGGCTGCTGCACGAGAGGTACCCCCTCATGACGGCCGTTGAGCTCGACGAGCGGGCCATCAGTCTGCTCAGCCGAAACATACCTGACCTCGATATCATTCACGACGACGTCCTGCAGGTACGCACACACGCTGGCAGACAGACAGGCAGACAGACGGACAGGCTGTCTGTCTGTCTGTCTGTGTATATGGCTGTTGGTGTGGCGTGTGCGTGTGTGTGTGTAGGTGAATTGGATGAGTCTTGCGCGTGCCAAGGGCGGGCGTGTGTCGGTCATCGGCAATCTCCCCTACTACATCACATCGCAGGTGAGAGAGAGATGGATGGATGGATGGATGTCCCCTCCCCCTTCTCCCTTTCGCTGGTCAGATCTTGTTCTGCCTGGTGGACTCCTACCCCGCCATCGACCAGGCAGTCGTCACCACACAGTGGGAAGTGGCCGAGGTGAGTCAGCCAGCCAGGGAGGAAGGGGAGGGACAGACGGCAAAAGCAGTGCAGTGGATGACTCACACACACACATATATACACGGTTGGTTCCATGCTCGATGTGTCAGCGGCTGACGGCCAGGCCGGGTGACTCACAGTATTCCATCCTCAGCGTCGTATTTCAGCTCTACTGCGAGTGAGTGAGCCAAGTCAACACAACACAACACACCACATCACACACAAGACAAAGCAACACAACACAAAATCGGGCGCCATCCATCCATCCATCCATCCACTCATCCATTTCATGCTGACTTGGTCCACTGATTCATTCAGGCCTAGGATCGTGTTCAAGATCCCTCCGCAGGTGTTCTTTCCGGTCCCCAAGGTCGACTCGGCCCTCGTCCACCTCAGATTCCCACAACACCGGCCACCACTTGGCGTCGATCCCATACACCTCAAGAAGGCAAGGCACCACAAACACAAACACACACACACGTCCCCTGTCTCCTCCCGGACATGACGTCTCTGTCTCTATGTCTCTCGGTGTGTGTCGGTGTGAGCACGCGCCACAGGTGGTGCACAGTGCGTTTCGGCAGCGTCGGAAGATGTTGCGTCAGAGCCTTAAGGGCGTGGCGCATGAGGCCGGTGTGGCTTTGCCGCCGCAGTGGGGCGTGCTGCGGCCCCAGGCCATGACGCCGCAGCAGTTCGTCGAGGTCACCAAGATACTCTTCGGACCGGTCAGTCAGCCAATCACTCTGTGCTGTGCTGTGCTGTGGGTGCGTGTGTTATGCATCTGTGTGTGTGTGTGTGTGTGTGTCTGCAGGCTGATGAAGGCCCCCCTCGGCGCGTGTGGCGGAAGGACCAGCACGGGGAGTGGTGAGAGGGGGGAGAAGATGAGATGAGATGAGATGAGATGCGTTTGAAAGCAATGGCCGAGCGAGTCCGCAACACGCATAGGCATGACACATACGCAAACGACTATGAAGACTCAGATGTGTGTGGGTGGAGTGCGTACTCGGGAGGGAATACGAGGGAGGAATCAGGTAAATGACGTCAGATGTATTGGACGGACAAGGTGGTAAGAAAAATCATACGGCATCATCGATCACAAGACGCACACACCAACACACACACACACACGGAGAGGGAGAGAGAGAGAGAGAGAGAGCGACAGAGCTCCCGTCCCTCCCATCGCCCTTCCACCACCAGCTGCAGGTCAGGTGACGAAGCCACCATCACTGAACATGGCATGTCTAGGCAGGCAACCATGTACGGAGATACAAAGTACATTGCACCAGAGGGTAGACAGACAGACAGACAGGCAGACAGGTGTCACTATGATGTCTGTATACTTAAGAAAGGTCAGGTCTGCCCTGCCCTGCCTTTGTGGAATGACACATGGATGCATGGATGGATGGATGCTAGAAAACGGCGAACAAACCACTGCCCTATGCAGCCCAGCCCGCCCGCCAGCCAGCCAGCCAGCCAGCCACACCACACACTTCCAGCCTCCACGGGGCACATACATAGCCTATCTGTCTATCTATCCCCCTAGAGCCCTCATGCCGTTGAGCAGCACCAGTATCAGCGACAGCCCATCCGTCAGCGCCGCCACCCACAGAGGCACCACCATCTCGCCACCTCCCGTCGCCAGCGCCCCCAACGCCTTCCACTCAGACCCGCCGTGCACTGCCACTAACCGGTCCACCATGAGCACCAAAGCGACCAGCAGCACGCCCACCTTGAGCCCCACGGCAATGGCCAAATTCTGCCACACGATCCGGCGGCACTTGCGCGAGAGGGACACGAGCGCCGGTAGGTCGTCGAGCGACCCGTGCAGCACCACACTGGCCGACTCCACAGCCAAGTGCTGCACCAGCCCTACCCCGCCACCGCCACCATGGAACGCCACGGCGATGCCGCAGTCGGCAGATGCGAGGGCGGGAGCGTCGTTGATGCCGTCGCCCAACATCCCCACTGCTTGACCGTACACGCCGTCCCACATACGCTTGCAGTCGCAGAGCTGCAGCAGGGCCTCGTTGGGCGACAGAAAGGGGGGGCCCTCGCCTCCCCCCAGCGACGCCGGCTCACACCCACACGCGTCGGGGCAGGTGCATGCGTCGCACGGCCACATGGACGAGTCGGGGGTGTTGAAATCCGAGAGCGTCCGTGACTGCGCCTTGCCGATCTTGTTGACGCCGTGGCCCAGGACCCTTTTGAAATTCCACGAGTCGCTGGGGTGTGAGGGGATGGAGAGCGACGGCTGCTGCTCCTCGCTGCAGCAACGGGAGGCACATGCAGCCTTCTTGACAGGGGGGGGCTGCTGGGGCTGGGGCTGCGGCTGCACCTTGGTGGGCGACGTCAGCTTGCCCTCCCTCTCTGTCGCACGAGTCAGCCCACACCCAGTGGTGGCCGTCGAGCAGCAGGCCGCGCTCGATGCTGCTGCTGCTGCTGGCGGCTGCTGCTCAACAGTGATCAAGGGGGGAGACACGATGGGGCCGGCGGTGATCACCTGGGGCAGGTGGTCGTGGTCCAGCAGGCGCTGCTGCTCGCTCCGTGGTGGTGAGGGCCTGCTGGTGGTGCGGCTAATGGTCAGCGAGTCCCATGACGGCTTGTTCTTGGTTGCGATGGTCCGATTGCCGCCTCGGGCACGGTGGGCGGCGATCGACCGGAGCTGCTGGATGTAGTGCATCTTGTCGGGCGGCTTGAGGCCGCCGATGGCCTTGGTGAGGGGCAGGGCAGAGGCCACAGCGGCTGCTGACTGAGGCGTGTCGCCCGTGAGTAGCACACACTTGACGCTCAACGACCGCAGCTGGCTGATGGCGCAAAACGCCGCCTGACGAAGGGGGTCCTCCACCAACGCCAGCGCCTCAACTGAGAGAGGTGAGCACAGCAATACAGACAGACACACACCGATGGATGGATGGTAGGGTAGATCGGGTCGCGGCTTCACTCACCTTGTTGTCCCACGGCGATGTAGACGACGCTGGTGATGCTGACGCCGTGTCTGCCAGGAAGCGATGCCGGGCTGAGCCCATCGATGGCCCCATGCTGCCCAGCGGTGGGCCCGCCCATCCATTGCTGCACCAGGGTGCTTGCCTCGTGGCTCACGGTGATGTCCTGGTGGCGCATGAAGGCCAGTGAGCCGATGGTGACCATCTCGCCCTCGACCATCCCCTTGACGCCCATGCCCTTGACGAAGGTAAACTCTGTCACCTCGGGCACCGGCGGCGTCACTTCGTCCTGCCTTTGCTCGTGGAATTCGGTTGCGCAGCCCGTCCACAGATTGATGAGCAGAGCACTCATGGGGTGGTTGGCCTTGGTCTCGACCGCTGCCGCCAGACGCAGAACGTGCTCCCTGTCGGCCTTGTTGCGGTACCACTCCGACACGATCGTGTAGTGGCCCTCTGTCAAGGTGCCTGCAAAGGTTTGGTGGCCACACATACACAAGAAAGACACAAACAAACAACTCTCTCTCTCCGTCCATCCATCCATCCATCTGTTGGTCTGTCGCCTCTCTCTAGTACCTAACCTACCGGTCTTGTCAACGGCGAGGAGTCCCAGTTGGCTGAGCGCCTCGAGCGCCTCGCTGCCCTTGACCAGAGCGCCATGCAGCCTCGCAGCGCTCACCATCCCACAGAGATACGACACAGACGGCGCCACCACGATCGAGCAGGGACACGCAACCAGCAGCACAAACATGCCCTTTTGCGCCGCCTGCAGCAGCCCCCCGTGGCTGACCCAGTGGGCCCATCTGCCGGCCTCGGCATACTCGGTGAGGGCCACCACAATGGGGACCATGCAGCACGCCACAGCGAGGGCGATAATCGTGGGCGTGTAGATCTGTGCGAATCGGTCCACGGCTTGGCCCACTGCTGTGGTCGTGTTGGCCTGCGCCTGCTGCACCACGCTCGACATGCGGGCGGCGACCGAGTCGTTGGCCGAGGCCGTCACGCGAACGTCAAGGTAGCCAGTCTGGAGCAGTGTCCCGCTGTAGACCTGTGTGGCGGGATGCACGTGGGGCTCACAACAAGGGCAGCCCTCTGTCTTGGCTTTGTAAGTCGGTAGCGACTCCCCGGTCAGCGAGCTCTCGTCGACGAACCCCTCCCCGCCCACCACTGTCCCATCGATGGGAACCACCTCCCCCTCTCGCACGCGAATCACCATGCCCTCCATCAGGTCGTCGACATCCATCGGCACCAGCGCGCCGGACGTGTCGAGTGTGGGCTTCAGGAAGGCCACGTGTGGCGTGTCGAGAAGGAGCCGCGCGAGGCTGCACTGGATCTTGCTCAGGCACAGGTCGTTGAGCAGCGACGAGAGATGGTACAGGAAAGCGATGGTCGCGGCATCGACCCAGTGGCAAGAGAGGGAGGCGCCGAGCACGCCGATGGTCATCAGGACCGACGCGTCGCATCTGCAGGCCGAGAGGGCCCGCAAGGCCGACCGGAGGAGGGAGAAGCCCGTAATGAGGATGGTCGCAGCACAGCCCAGCACGTAGAAGACGCTGCGGCTGTCGTCGAAGCCCTGCAGGTCCCGCACAGACGTCACGGCCAGCAGCACCACATAGGGGAGGGTCTGCAGCAGCGGCACCCAGGCCGACCTGGCCCACTTGAGCAGCGACCACTCCTTGTCGCTGTCAGCTCCAGCCTTGCCCTTGCCGTGAGTGAGGATGGAGGCGCCCAGGTGGGCCGCGTTGAGGATGGAGGCGATGCGCGCGGCGGGGAGGGCGGACGAGTGCTTGACGACGGCGATGTGTGTGATGGGATTGGTCTCCACCTCGTGAATCAACCCACGCACCTCGGCATCCTCACTCTCCTTCAACAGACTGCACACACGCATGGCATGCCACATAGATCAGGCACGCGCAAGCAATGGTCAGGCAGTGTGTGCAGGGTCTCTGCCGCTCGTTTCTCCTGAACACTCACCTGCGGATGAGTCTCACTTCGCTCGTGCAGCAGAGGTTCTGCACGCGGAACACCGTCACGAAGTGCCGCGGGCTTGGAGGCTCGACGGGGATGGCAACCTCCTCCACCCTGGGAGGCTCAACGGTGATGCCAACCTCCTCCACAGGGATGGCAATCTCCTCCATCGCCCCGTCTGTTAGAGATCCAGCATACACGCCTCTCGAGGGGACACAAGAGCCGCTGTGCTACGACTTTTTCCACTTCAAAGCTCGAAGGGCGAGCCGTGAAACATCTTGATGCAGAGAAGGCCCCTGGGTGTGCAGACGACAGTGTGCATCTTGGTTCTCTTAGCAGCTTGCTTGTCCGCCATCTCTGCCTCACCCAGGGCGGCATTTCTCTCATCGCTGCGGCCGCACGTTGCCGCCTCTCATGCATTCGCCCGGCGGTCAGCAGCGGCTCTGAGGAGGCCTGTGAGGATGGCTGCTGCCGCTGGTGCTTCTGCTGCAGCAGTCAAGACTTTCTCGGCGCGAGGCATCAGTCTCGGTCTTGACGCGTTTGCATGTACTGCCCACACACAGCACTGACCAGCAGAATGAGTACGGCATCGAGCTCATTCTGCATGCAGATCGGCAGTGGGACGACCCTTCTTACAAGGGCACCCGGATGAAGGGCGACAAGCAAGAGTTCATTGACAAGGTGAGATGAGCTGAGTTTGCGTGAGGGAAGTGACATTCGATGAGCAGTGCAGTGCATGGTCGTGGCGTGGTCGTGCCTGTGTGGTTGTGTGTGTTGTGCAGGTGAATGAGTTGGTGCAGCAGAATGACCTCACAATGACGGAGGGGTGAGTGAGTGAGTGAGTGAGTGAGTGAGTGGTGGGCCGCCGGCTGGCTGATCCGATCACATCAGATCAGAGCAGATCGGATCAGCACACACGCGTGTGTGTATCCGCTTCTCTGTCAACCAGATACGCCCCGTTCTGCCGTCACATCTTCGTCGGTAACATTGTGGATGGCGTGGTGCCCGGCACCCTGGCAATCACCGACGCCAACAGACATCTGCTCAGGTAATGTACATGTGCTTCCGCCTGACATCCCATCCATCCATCCATCCATCTGTGTATGGCTGATGTGTGTGTGTGTGTGTGTGCGCCGTCGGTCGGTCGCAGGAGTGGGTACAGCGCACGTCGTCCCGAGGAGCTGCCCGTCTTGTCGCGCTGGTTCAGGGCGGGGGACGTTAAAGGTCTGCTGAGGCCGGCCAAATTCCTGGATCTCATTCTCTACAGCCGCGAGCAGATTGCAAAGGCAACACAGACAGACAGACAGACAGGCAGGCAGACAGACAGACAGACAAAGATGCCGGAGGGGTGCGCCGCGCCATCCGTTGTGTGTTTGGTTTTTTGTTGGTTCGTCCCCTCGTGTGCAGGAGAAGGCGGCCATGGACAAGACAGACGAGGTCACGATAGGTCAGTAAGTCGGTGGTGCCGTGTTGTGTGTGTGTGTGTGTGTGTGTGAGGATGGACAGCGCATTGCATCCATCGTTTGAGTGGCTGGGCTGCGTGTGTTTTCATTCACTCCTTCACTCACTCGTGGTGCAGATGAGAAGGATCCGTTGTGGTCGGTCATCTCCATCAAGGTAGGTAGGTAGGTATGTCAACTCAGGTCAGGTCACGCAAGAGGCATCCATCCATCCATCCACATGCTGTCTATCCTTTGCACGTGTGTATATCCCGTACCTGCAGGCTCAAGACGAGGTCAGCAATGCCCACCCACCCCTCCATCCATCCATCCCATGTGCCGCGTGTGTGTGGTTGCTGGCTGGCTGTTGTCCTTATTTGCTTCCTTGGCCTTCGATCGGTCGATCAGGCATTCGAGCTGCCGATGGCGCCCATCACTATGATGCGGAACACGCTCATCGGTGAAGGTAGGTCACTCACGCCACGCAACACACCCATCCCATCCCATACAGACCCACACTTCTACACGCCGACAAGTGTGTATTGACTGATTGATCTCTGTGTCCGTGTGGGTGGGGTTATGGGTGCGTGAAGGTGGGAGTGGCGTGCCGATTGACCGGGAGGCCTACATGAAGAGCGTCGAGTACTGGCAGAACCACGCCGTTGTCCAGTGAATGCATTATGTACTCTCGTGCTGCGTGTCGGTCGTGTGGACAGACAGACAGACGGGTGGTGAAGGTGTGTGAGATGCTGTGGGGGGATGCAAAAGTGGTTCGGTTCGCTTGTCCTCCTTCAATGATTGAGCGTCGACCTTGGCACACTTTTCTGTTCTGGGTCTCTCCGGCTGTGCATCTGCGCACGGCTGTGTCGCTGGCTGCCGCCCGCGGCCGGTGGTCCGCGACACCTTGGGCCCCATTCGCAATGACGGACAGCCACAGCAAGCTGAAGAGGCTGCAATGACGTTGCGTCGGCTTTCCATTGGGCCCTACATCCCAAATGTCGCCAGGTGTGATAGATCTGATCCGGTTGCGGAAAAAAAAAACGCCATGCCTGCCGAGACTAATCAAGCTTGCTTGTCTTTGTGTGCAACAGGGTGGTGCCCGAGGATGTGAGGCTTCTGAAGGTAAGCAAGAAAAACCCGAATCCTGCAAAAGACGGCCTGATGCCTCCATGTCAGTAAGCGGGCGGGCGAACAGGCGTCAGTCAGTATGCATCGGTCTCACCTCTCCTCCGTCTCTCAGCCAAGAAACACAAAGGGTCATACGGCGAGCCGAAGTACATGTCCAAGTACTTGAAGGACAGCAAGACTGCCGTCTCGTGGCTCAAAGTTCCTGCGGAGCCAATCACCGTGCCCGCCAAGATGGAGGACCATGTGGCCTTCAGTCTCTCTGTTGACACACTGGACACCCGTCGGGAGGGAATGAAAGACGAGGCGGACTTTTTCCGGGTGAGTACATGATCACACGCACACACGTTGGTACGAGTGTTTGTCTGGCGCTGTCTCTCGGCGCATTCAGAGCTTCCCAAAGGGCATGTTTGAAGTGCGGCTTCACTCACTCACTGGTGTTTTCAGATCATCAGATGCGTCCGCGAGACACGTTGCATTTCACTGTCGTTTTGTCTCTGTCTGTCTGTCCATCTGTCTGTCTGTCTGTCCATCTGTCTGTCTGTCTGATTGTCCGCGTTTGTCTCTGGCCCATAAGGTGACGCCCCATCTCGAGGACCCGCGGGTTCTCGATGTCTCAGTCCACTGCGAGGTCAGACAATGATTTATCTGTCCATCTCACCTATCCTTCCTCCCTCCCTCCCTCGTCGTTGGCACGTGTGTTTGTTTATGTAGCTGCCGGTTGACGCCAAGTGCGCCGAAGCCCACGTCACATTCCAGCTCTACGAGTCCGTTTCCAGTCCGCCCACCATCACACAAACAGACAAGTACCCCTGCATCATCTGCTCTCCTCTGCTTGTCTCCAGTCTTGAGCATCCCAGCGGAGAGGGAGTAGTCGCCTCCGAGCTGCCGTTAGCGGCATTCGAAAGATGAACATTACCGGCGAGGAGACGACGAGATACACGGAGGAAACCCCGGCACCTCTACGCACTCTTAGTCAGTCAGAGACCCAGCAGACAGAGCAGATCACCGAACGAACACACGAATCTGGTGCAACCTTCCTCCTTGATGTTTGTATGTTCGTTTGTATATGTGTATGCAGAAAAGCAGAGGAAAGGTTGGCCCGAATACCGTGAGACGGAAGCGTGGAGCCTTGGCAAGAGCGAAGGGGTGCGATGAGAGCCGACACAGAGCGCTGAGTCCCCTTTGCTGTGTTGTGTCGTGTCTGTATGTGTGCAGGACATCGACAAGGCACTGGCGGAGTCGCCAACGGGCGAGCTCAGGGGCAAGAAGCGCTCCAGAGACGACGATTCAACTGCTTTGGCGCCGCACAAGAAGAGAAAACTCCAGGGGGGACAGTCAGGCGTGTTTTGACGAAGCCAGCCGACCTTCACCGAACAGCCAGGCTGCAAGATGACCGAGCATGCATTCAGGTGCCCTGTGAGTTAGTGAGCGTGTGATAGGCTGACGGATCAAGAGTGCGAGAGCTCAGTACAGATGTGAACGACTGACGTATTCTCGCACCGCCGCATCGAATCGATCTAGAGAGAGAACGCAATTCGACTGACACGTGCTGACGTTATCTATCAACAAAGACACACACACAGACACAGACACAGACACAGACACACACCTACCCATCCTTCAGTCCGTTCATCCCGCTGTCCATCGGTCACAGGAGTCGGGATTCAAAGCCATCCTTGGCGCACTTGGAGTAGTCGACCTCGGCTGAGCCCGCCTGGCGCAGCCACCGCACGCACCGCACACCCCCCCGAGACACACAGTCCTCGCAGCCAGACACACACCTGCACACACGAAATGTACGCACACAGCTCAGGCAGGCAGGCAGGAAGGCAGGCGACCCCTGCCGTGGAAGTCTGTCTGCACATCCTTATTACTGCGCGTCGAGTGTGACGACGGAGGTTTTGAAGCCATCGAACCACTCGACCTTCTTGCCCTCACTGCCGAAGTCACACATGGCGTATGGCGTGTCCGTCACTGGAGCGCCGCTGGTGGCGAATGCGGCCATGTATGGCGCTGGTGGAGGGGCGATCGAGGTGTGTGCCGTGTCGGACAGGTCAGACGGGAGATTGAGGTTGTCAGAGAGATACGCCGGGTGGGGACGGAGGAAGTTGCAGTGCAGAGGCGACGCCTGCAGTATCCTCACCTGCAGTCGTTGATCGATCGCATCAGAGACACAGATGAAGTGACAGACAGAGAGACAGCTTGTGGGCTGACCAGACCGTGGTTATGAGTTGCCAGGCCCTGGCCGAGGGCATGCGATGACACAGAAGCCCGCCTCAAGCACATACCAATACGCTGCCCCTGCAGTATGGATGGACGGACGGATCCGATCCACCGATGGGATGGACGGCGGGTGTGGGGCCTTTCTCTCTCTCTGAGTTGTCTGTTGTACATGTGTCGTTGACCTGATGGGCCCCAAGTATCTGCTCGTCGGTGCAGCGCGCCAAGCCGAGCCCCAGCTCTCCCGTGTTGCCACCTAATAATGACAATGGCATCACGTGACGTGCGTGGTGCCTCCCTCCCCTCCGCGCCACACGCAGGATTGTGTGTCGCCGATCTGTCTGTCTGTCTGTCTGTCTGTCTGTCTGTCTCCCCGCCAGCCCGTCCGTCATTGGCTGACGTACGCTTCAGATATGCCTCGATGCGGACCTCAGTGCCGCCCACGGCACACGTCGGCACGACGCTCTCGACCACCGACGCGTCAATGGCCGTGAAGTTGGCAAAGTCATACAGACGGGCGATGCCGTGCTCATCTGCACACAACCCACAAACGCACACAGAGCTCTGAGCACACTTGCAGACAGCCCGGTGGCTGACACACCGCCGCCTCAGGCTCCTCTCTCTCACCGGCGCAGTCCTGTATTCCGGGCGCGCCCGACTGTGCAAGCGATGACAAGGGCAAGAGGCCGATGAGCCACACGAAGGACAGGAGAGACAGACGCCGTCGATGAGTCATTCGGTTGCGAGCTTGCCCCCAAGCCGCCCACAAGCTCGCAGTCGTTGTAGATCTCTCACGCTGCGCAGCCGTCGAGCAGATCTCTCACGTAAGTGCACACACACGCGCCCTGATCTCTCCAAATGGATGTGATGTATATGTGTGTGTGTATGTATGTCAGGAGCTGGACAGTGTCACACACATGGAGACGAAGGAGCCAGCGGCCTCGCCACTGTCATCTGCCGGCAGCATGCACTCGCTCCGGGCAGCCCTCGACGGCCTCATGTGTGAGCACCAAGCACAGCAGCAGCAGAGGGACACCCAGATGAGATCCAACCCCGGCCGCAGCAACGACACCGACTCGCCTGAGGTACTTACATGACATTGTGCACACCGACGATGCACACACGCTGCTTTGGTTCATTCATGTCATGGTGCCTGTCCATCCATCCACTGTGTGTTGGTCTTCCTGTGCTTGCTGCACTAATGCCTGCCTGCCCACATCCCTCAGGAGTCGACTCCCGTGTGCTGCTCGCGCAAGAAGCGGGTGTGCTGTCGAAGGCGACGGCGCGCGGTGTGGGACCCCTCAAGAGCCGCCAACCGCCAGGCGACTCTCGACGAGCGCCTGACGCACCATCTCACCAAGATCACCGCCGTCACACGGGACATCTTCGCGCCCCTTTGCAACGAGGAGGAGGACGACGACCTGCCAGATCCCGTCTCATTCGACCGCCCCCCGACAGGTACATCTTCTGCCTCGTCTCGTGTGGCCGACGAGGCGGAGCGGCTGATCAACGACAACCGTTGGCTGCCGGCTCTCGTCAACTCGCTGCTCTCAGCATCGTTCTACGAGATGTGCAACAGGCGGCTGCTGTATACGGCCCTCTTGAGGCTGGTCCGGGAGCTGCTGACCTGGAGCAGGGCCACGCTGCCGCTGCCGTCACCGCACCAGGGAGAGCACAGCCAAAGGTGCAATTGTGGTGGTCGTGAGGGTGAGAGGGGCCTGCTGGACATCCTTCGCGAGCCCCACCTGGCAAGCCGCCCCGGCCACCCCCTCGTCAACGCGCTGTCCGGCCTGAGGGAGCAGGCCAAAGTGTATCTGTCGGGCATTGATGTGACGGCAAACAGGAGGAGCAAGGCCGTCGGCGACCACCACCACACGACGACCATGGACCTGGCATCGCTGCCGCCGGTCGGTCAACGGACACCCGAAGCGTCAGCGTCAGCATCAGCGTCAGCATCTGGATCGGCAGATCTGGGCCACAAGACGGGCAAGGAGGAGTGGGCGAAGGGGAGAGACGCCTTCGTTGCGGTGTCGGTCCCACCCCATGACGACTCCGAGGTCACCGAGTGCCGGGCGCTGGCGTCGCTCGTCATGTCCATTTGCCACGACTTGCTGCCCCCGGCGGTCCCCGCCCCGCCCTCCCGCTTCATCTTCGACATGTCCTTCATGTCATTCACACCGCACCGACACACCCACACCAACAGCCACAGCCACAGCAACATGTACCACCACAGCAACACGGACAGGACCCCGAGCACCAGTGGCGCCTCGGCCACCAGTGGCAGCACCAGCACCAGGTCGTCATCGCCACGTGTGGTAGTGTGGGGTGGGGAGGCGGCCGAGTCCGAAGCCGACAAGTACTGCCGCATCATGCAGCAATTCCAGGTGGGTGCGCCACGGAGGGAGGGAGGGAGGGATATATGTGACGGAGTGCACAGACAGACAGCCAGACAGGCAGACGGCAGGCACATGTGGTTGTGTGCATGTGGTTGTGTGTTGTCACGTGGATGGGTGTGCGTCAGGTGGGGAGTGCGTCTTTGCTGAGCTGCCATGCGTATCGCAACGAGGTGCGCAAGGAGGCCGCCAGCGGCACACCCATCCACAGCGCACGACATGCGAGACTCCTCAAGGAAATGGCCGGTCAGTCGTCAGCACAATTATCCCGCCAAGCATCCATCTATTTGTTCTGCCTGCCTGCCTGTCTGCCTGCCTGCGCCCCCGGTGTGCGCAGGGTTGTCGACACTGCTGCCTCTGAACCCCTCGTCGAGCATATTTGTGCGTTTCGACGAGTCCAACATCAGTTTGTGGCGGGCTCTGATCACCGGGCCGGAGGGCACCCCGTATGACAGCGGCGGGTTCGTCTTTGACATCTACTGCCCCCCCAGCTACCCATCTATGCCGCCAAAAGTCACTCTCATCACCACAGGTGGGGCTGGCATGGCCATAGACCAACCAACCAACCAACCGGCAGACAGACAGACAGACAGATAGGCACACCAACAAACACAACACAACACAAAGGCTCTTCTGTGTGTGTGTGTGTGTGTGTCTGTGTGTGTTTTTGTTTGTGGATGGTCACAGGCAACTATCAGGTTTCTTTCAACCCCAATCTGTACGTCAGCGGTCGGGTGTGCCTTTCGCTGCTCAACACCTGGGCAGGCAGAGACGAGGAGACCTGGGACCCCGTCGCCTCGACCATCCTGCAGGTAAGTCACTGACTGATGGATGGATCGATGATGCACGACACAACACAACGCATCACACGCAGCTGGCCCGCCGCTCAACGGATGCGCGTGTGTGTGTGTGTGTGTGTGTGCGAGTAGGTGTTGGTGTCCATCCAGGCGCTCATTTTCGTGCCGGACCCTTGGTTTAACGAACCAGTAGGCGCACACCACACCACACCACACCAGACGGACTCAGATGGACGTACGTGACCTGTCGTGTGCTTATGTGTAGGGTTTGGCCGTCTTCAAGCGATGGGCATTCGCACAGAAGTACGCACACACAGGCTTTTTCCTGCCTGCGTGTGCAAGCAGCTGTCTGTCTGTCTGTCTGTCTGTCTGTCTGTCATTCAGGCGTTCGCTGCGCTACACCATGAGCATCCGGGAATATACTGTGGGGTGGGCCATTCGCTGGCACATGAGGACCGCCCCCCACACCGAGTTCGCCGACGCCCTTAACCACCACTTTGCCCTCCGCTCCCAACACATCCTCGACACCATCCGCCGCTGGATCGCCGAGGCCGCCGACTTCGACAACACCTGCAGCACCAATTCCAACGGCACCACACACAAAAGGGCAACCAAGGCGGCCAGCAGTACCACCGGCAGCAACAAGCACCGCAGCGCGCTGCCCGAGGAGCCACAACAACATGAGACCGACGGGGTGCGGGGGGCATCGCCGACTGGCCTGTGCCGTCACGGCAGTGGCCCATCGGGGTCATTGTCAGCAGCAGCTGCTGGGTGTGCTAGTCCACACAGTGGGGGGCGTGTGGGTGGTGATGGCGATGCGGTGGATTGCGATGGCGGTGGTCGGGATCGTCACCATGATCATGATGAGTCGTATTTGGTGTCGACGCTGCCATTGCTGGAGGAGGGCCTCCAGCAGCTCGTCAAAGACCTACGGCTGCGGTGACTGGAGATTTTCTTTCTTTCTGTGTGTGTGTGTGTGTGTGTGTGTACTAGTGGTAGCTCGATTGATTGAATGCTCGCCATCTATCCTGTCAGGCCCGATATGTTGTGCCGGGTCCACCCACCCACCCACCCACCTGTCTGTCTGTCTGTCTTGTCGTCTTTTTTCGCGGATGAGCATGATCCGATCCGATGGGATCCACTTCTTGAATGTGCCGTGGAGTCTATGCCTTCGTTCGTCCGTGCGCGGCGTTTGAGTGGCTGCGTGTGCCTGTGTGCACACGTGTGTGTGCGTGTGTGTGTGTGTGTGGATCGGATAAGCATACATGTATACTATACATGTGTTTTATACATCGATGGACCCGGGTTGAAGCCCAAACCGTCTGTCGAGGTTGCGGCATGGTGTGCTGACAAGCACTCACAGATGTGCCACACCGCTGGCCAGTGGGGTGTAGGCCCTTGCGGATTGCCTACTCCCCTAGCGCTCTCCCTGCCTACCTCTCTCCCTCCCTCCTGGCTGCCTGACTGCTCGAGTTCCGTCTCCTGTCGAGTTCCGGACATGTGCAGTCCACACGTCGCTCCAACCGGCGCGCACAAGATTAATCCAAGGGGAACTCTCAGACTGGATGTCCATGGATCATCGCTGTGTGTGTCTGATGTCATGAAAGAGAACCTCCGGTTCTACCGGTGCTTATAATGCAATTGGGCAATTGGTTGGAAGAGAGAGACATGTCGCTAGCTCATGGACCCGAAACGTTTGTCTGTCGACAGCAAGCTGAGAGCACCTGTTCAGCGGTCATGTTATGAACATATTTGCGAATTTTTCCAAAGGGATTTGAGGGCTCATAGAGGCCAGCAAAACATGCACGCAGAGTGACAAAATGACCTCCCGCATGTAATTGAATGCAGCTGTCATTGAGTGCATGTGTATGGATGTCGATCACACATGTCCGTACAAAATAAAGCAATGGTGGGACACACAATCAGTCATTGATTGTCTCATTCTGTGTCTCTCTCTTCACCAAAACAGAATCAGACCAAAACAGACGAGAAACAGACAAAAACTGTTGGCACAAAAGTTTGATAGGCGACAACACACACAGACATTAATACATAGACACACACAGACCGACACACAGAACGTGCATGGATGAGTGAATGCACGTTCTGCCGGAAGTCGACGAATCAGTCGTATGGCGAACACGGCCGCTGCATACAACAAAGCAGGAATGTCCATCACACTCAACCTGCACAAACGCACGCCCACATGTTTGGAGACACCAACATCGACAAACGGGCGTGGTGATTCTCTTGGTCTTATTCACTGAGAACTGAGATGAGCTTTTGAGTTGGCCAGGTCCATAAAGCTCTTGACATTCTCGTCTGGCCAGTGAACCGACAGTAGGGTGGGAAGCCGCACTTGGTGCTTCAGGCGGGTGGGGCAGCGCTGCGCGACACGCCGAAGCAGATGCTCCAGCAGACGCATGCAGGCGTGCAGGGCACAGATGCTCGTCCATGACGAAGGCTGCCCGCCCGCCGCCACTGGATGGCCGGTGGGCACACGGCAACTGAGGTCGCCGACCTTGATCATGGGCACTGGGTCAGCTGGCTTCACCTGCGTCCTCTGCAGTCGCCGGGGCGCTTGCGGCAGCTCGTGAGGCTTGAGCTTCAGCAGCGACATGAAGTCAGACACACTGCCCGTCACAGTCAACCTGACACACACACACACACACACAGAGACATATCCATCCATCCATCCTTCCTTCCTTGCAGTGTGTGTCATAGTGTCTCCTTCACTCACAGCTTTTGTGTCGGGCCGGGGCTGATTGCCATGGACTTTGATGTCGCTCGAGCTCTCGCTGCTGCTTTTGCAGTGCGAGGGCCTTGGCGCCGACGCGACGCGTGCAATTGGCTTCGGCGGCACCTCTTCCTCCTCTTCTATCTGGTCGACGGGCCCGTCGGGCATATCCTCGTCCACCTCATCGTCCCATCCCCTGCCCTCTCCCCCCAGACTGCCTCGTCCCCGCTTCTTGGCTGTGCCGACCTCAGCGTCGCCGTCCTCTCCCCCCTCCATCTCGTCCAGGTCGGCGTGGCGGTTGGCCTCCTGCCCGTCGTCCAGCTGGGCCATCAGCCCGTCGCCAGCATGCTGATGGACGTCAGGTCCGAATGACGGTCGGACTCGTCATCTGAACGGTGAAAGAGGTGCAGTGAGTGATTGAGTGAATGAAGTCGCAGTGCAAGAGTGAAATGACTGACAATGCGAGTATGTGTGTGCGTGGTGGGCGGCGCCGCTGGAAGATACGCCAGGCGGGCGCTGAGGATGGTGCTGGCATGTTTGTCGCATGATTGAGGGTTGGTCGAGTCGATTGACGCAGTTCATTTCATGAGACACCGACAGACTCTGCCTGCCGTTGCGCCATGAAACAGGCAATAACGGAAGAAAAAAAATGACTGACAATCATTGCTTACCCTGGTGCTCCGCCTTCCGGCGCTTGTTCGCACCTGAGTGAGAGGCAGACACATGGACAAGTGAATGAATGGTGTCGTTGAACAGTGCTGCTTCTCTCTATTGGTTTCTCTGCTCACCGGTTGTCAATGACCGGCTGCGCTTTTTCTTGGATGGCTGATAGACAGATGTGAAAGGCTTTCCTTTGAGGCCTTTCTTCTTCTTTGGACCCATGGTGGCTTAGAAGGCACAGAGAACGCCTTAGAAGGATACCAACGCTCTTTATTGCTCCTATCCTGCAGCTGCTTGCTGTAAATGCATGCGTCACCGGGGCGGGGGGGGGCCTCTGCGAGCTCCGTCTCGAGTTGAAGCTTTTGGACCATCGCTGCTGATAGATCTCATCCATACATATACGTACACATGACATGGCCGTCGAAAAATGCTAACAACTCGATGGTTTGTGGGTCCCAGGCCACCATTCTCGGTGAGCGGACGCCTCACTCACTTCCCCACATGTGTAGCGTGGGGATTTGCGAGAAATGCTTTCTGTGTGGACTTTTCCTTAGGTCGGCGTGACGTTCCTTATGTCCATCGGCACCAAATGGCAAACAACTCATCGGCTTCTTGGCCAATCGGCCTGAAACTCGGCATGTGAGGTCCTCTCACCAAGACGGAAATCTGTACCGTTGGGATTTCCGAGATATGGTCTGTGTGTGGCTGGAGGGCCTCACGCCATAACAAATGTGTAACCGACGTGTACAAGGTGGCCGTTGAACAGAGCCTCTCAGTTTGAAGTGGACGTCTGATACCATTGGTCTGGCAGGTAGGTGAGTCAGTGCATGTCAGTCAGCACAACAAGAAGTCTGTGTGTGTGTGTGTGGAAGGGGTGTCTGATGGTTGAAAACTGTACGAGTTTCATCTTGTGAGACTGCTTATAACTGCAGTGCCTTTCATCAGTCCTCAATCTGTGCCTTGTGTCAGTCCACTCACTCAACATCTCCCTTCCACCATGCATGTCTCTGATAGGGTGTCTCTCAATCACTAATTCTTGGGACTCGGCACAATGTGTTCTGTTTGTGACTGGATGGGAAGGAAGTGTCAGTCAAGCCAGTCGGACCCACTCTCGTCTTCTTCTTCATCCGGCTCCCAATCCGAATCCGAATCCGAATCCGAATCGATCAGATAGTACCCCTCTGTGTCGGGCTCATCTTCTTCCATGATCTCCCTCCTGTCCATTATCTCTGCCTCGCGCGCGCGCCGGGCCCTCCGTCCTTGTCTGAGCCTCGCTTCTCCGCGCCGGCCTGTGTGGAAGCCTACACGCTCACCGTCCGTCTTGTCTTTGGGCGACCGGGCATGCCCGGCCGGCTTCCTGAAGCCGGTGGGGACGCAACAGCGGCAGCTGGCGAAGAGTCCGTCCAAAAGGCTAGCCCTCCTCTCTGACATGAGCTCCTCGGGGGTCAGCTCGGCGTCGTACTTCGAAGAAGCGAAGTCCAGGATCTCGGCCGAGGTGTTTCCAGCTTCCAATCGTTCCCACTTCTCGAACACGCGAATGTAGTTGAGCGTTTCGACTGTACAGGGGACGTACTGAATCTTCCACGAGGGGTCTAGGTATGCGTGTGTACGGTCGTGTGCCGTACACTCCCATGGCGCCAGGCACTCATCCGGACTCTCTTCGTATCGTAGCTTGCACCAGGCCAACAAAGGGGAGAGACACCGACAAAGGGGGAGAGATTTGTATGAGTGTCAAATTGGCGGACCGGACCAGCCAAAGGCACAGACACTTGCAAGTGTAAGCTTGACACTCTCATGTTAGTTCCGCTCAGTTCCCTGGCGCCAGCTGTCGAGCATCTGCATCTCTCTGCAGAGACATAAGAAGGGACAAAACCAACCATGTATGTACACAGGCGAAGAAAAGAAGACGAAGTCCATCATTGTGTTCTTCCTCATTACCATAGCACCAGGGACAACCAAGCACATCCGGTCCATCGCACTGCCGACTCAGAGTCGCGACTCGAGACGCGGAGGCCCCCTCTCGGCCCCCACTAGCCGTCGGCCTTCCTCGCACCTCGAACGACGGGGCACCTCGAACGACGATGGCAGAGGCGGTTGCTGCCGGCGGGCGGCTGTCGAACATTGGTGAAGGTGATTTCCTCCTCCCCATTGCCCACGTCCGTCTTCGAGAACTCTTTGCCCTTCCACAGTGCCCCACAGATGCCGTTGACCATCCGTGCCCAGATCGACCTGCCGGGCACAGCGATGGGCAGGCCCTTCGCGAGGGCCTTGCTGCCTAGTGTGGCAAGGGGGAGGCCCGCCGAGCCGTCACCATTGAGGAACAACTCCTCGAGAGCACGCCGGTCGAGGCCTCTCAGATCCGCCAAAGTGCGCGGCACTGTCGCAGTCTCGGCTGTGGCTAAGCAATCAATGACAACCATGGAGAGAAGAAGGTGTATTGCAAAAGCTGGCTTCTCTCGGCGTGTGCGTGTGTGTGTGTCTGTCTGACTGACCTGCACTGTTAAGCTTCTGCATTCGCAGAGCTCGAGCACTGGTATCTCTGCCTTCCCCAGCCCGTGGGAGGCTTCGGGGGCTGTCTTGGAGGCAGTGTGGGATCCTGGAGGCTCTCACCGACGCCATGAACTACAGACAACAGCCTGGGATGCATCAGCGGTTCTTCTCATGCACCTGTCAGCCAGGGACCCGCCTGCACACACACCTGAAAGAGAATCATGTGGAGCAGCCTTGCAACCGAGTCCCACACGTGCCTTTCACCTAGAAGGCTGCAGACGACGAACACCGAACCCCTCATGTGGGCAGGTCGCGGGACAAATTGAATTTCAGTGCAAACGACGCACGGGACCGTCAGGATGTGCGTGGTTACGCCCTGCCGCGCGAGAGAAGGGGAGACGAAACAGCGAAGACGGATCGCGAAGACGGATCGCGATTCGCGAGCTTGTTGGCAGTCGGATCTTGAACCATCGAACGACGCCTGCGCATTGTATCCGGTCGCAATGTGATTGTTCTGTTGTCAAGATTGATTGATTGGCTTATTGAGTCTTGAGTCACTGAGTCATTGCTTGAACCGATGACCAAGAGCACCAGCAGCTTGTTCGACGGCGTTGCCGTGGCCGCATCGGGGAGGACAGAGGTACGTATTGTACGTGTATGGCCTGCGGCGAACGAACACACGATTGTTGAGTATGGCAATTATAGATGTGTGTGTCTGTCTTTCTTTTTCGTGTCAGGTGTTCCGCGTGGCGGCCAAGGCGTCCGCCCGCGACAGCGCGGCTGCGGAGCGCATCGTGCAAATACTGAGGGTGAGATGAGGGCAGCGCGTTTCGAATGTGTGTGCCTGCTTGTGTGTCTGCTGCCTGTCAGGAGCTGGACACCGATCAGGATGGGAAGTTCAACACAGAGGAAGTGGTTGTGGCCGTCAAGATGGTGGGATGCGGTTGGCAGGCCGATCAGAGAAGGATGCGCTCATGCAACAGACAGACAGACAGACAGATGGACTCACTCTGCCGGCTGCTCTCTCTCTCTCTCTCTCTGTGTGTGTGTGTGTGTGTGTGCGTCTGTGAGTGGTCAGCTGCTTCACGAGAGGTCCGTCACGAGGCAGCTCAAGTGAGAGTCACACACACACACACACACACAGAGAGAGAGATGCCACAGCACCCCTCCTATGATGGATGCTGCACGTGGCTGTGTGTGCAGGTGGGTGATTGCTGCGATGGCCGCCTTTTAGTGAGACTGCAGACACGCAGCTGAGCTGATGAGCACACTGCTTGTCTGTCTGCCTGTCTGTCTGTCTGTTTGTCTGTCTGTGTGTATGGTATGCAGTGCGGCCACGTTGGCCATCATCCTGGGCCTGGTCGTTGGTGGATCTGAATGTAAGCCGACCAACCGACCAAACACGTCTCCCTCTACCCCGTGTGTGTGTGTGTGTGTGTGTGTGTGCAGTGACAAAGGAGGCGACAGTGGGGGAGGGCGGGGTGTTCCGCAGCAAGCGCGACAGCAACGTCAAGATCAGGACACAGGAGGACCTTGACCTCTATGAGCTCAGCGACCTGTTCAGCACGCCGCTGGAGCAGTACGACCGGCTGGAGGCCATCCTGGTGCCGCACGGCAACGACACTTTCGGCCACTACAGAGTGGCATCCATCCTCAACACACACGACTCACTCGCCTTCACATTCGTAAGCAAAGCAATCCCATTACTGAAGTAAGGAGCCAAACACACTCTCCTCTCCTCACCTCACCGTAGTTGGTGTCCGTCAATCCGTGTGTTTGTTGGTCCCTCTGACAGATGAGGGGCGAGGTTCTGAGTGTGCGTGCGGACGGCTACACCTTCACGGATGCGCGGGACAGGACGCTGCGGGACGTGACCTTCAAGCAGGAGGAGGACGAGGCGGCCTCGAGGCGGAGACTGATGCCGTCCTTTATGAGTGGGGGTGGGAGGAGCAGGGGGTACAGCCCTCACCTCGCCATCAGGTACCTCACCTGTCCCTTGGTGCGCTGGATGCGCGTGTGGTGTGAGCGTCCCTTAAAGCTTGTGTCCTTTGCTGTGCTGTGTCCGTCCGTCCCTCGCTGCGCTGGTAGGTGTCGCAATGGTGCGCGGGATCCTCAGTGCCTCTCCGCCAGTGCACAACGCGTCTTCTCGGTAGGTCACACAGGGGAGGCGACTAGCTAGAGTCGGCAGTCCCACCCTCGTGTGTGTGTGTGTTGGATCCGATCCACAGGGCGTGACGCACTCGTTTGTGATAGGCGGGCGGCGTGTGGACGTGCCCTTTAACAGCCCAGTCATCCGCTCGTATGTCGGAGGGTCCTCCAGCTGAGTGAGTGAGCCCATGGAAGGGAGCAAGGATGAGATATCTAGATGAGACGAATGAATGGTGTGGGGCATATGGAATGCAGCGCAGCGCAGCGCAGCCAGCCGTGGGGTGCGACAGACAGACAGACAGACAGACATCAATCCAATCAATGGTCAGACATGAGTGAGTGCGATGCCTGCACGACACGGCGTGACTTCATGCTGCACGCACGTATTACGTACGCTGCAGCGCACTGCACTGCACTGGCCTGAGCTGAGCTGAGCTGAGCTGGGCTGGGCTGGGTCGGTGCTGTGCTGCTGTTGTTGTACTTGGTGTCTGTCTGTCGAGGGTGGGGTGGAGAGAGAGAGCTCTTTTCTCTGTAGGAGGGTTTTTAGTGTCAGTGAGGACACTGCTGGCTTAGTCAGTCGCTGTTTTTCCAGTCAACTTGTTTGTTCAACGGTCCCCTCACACACACACACACAGAATGCTGCGTACCCAGCTGTTTATTGGTCTGTGAGTCGTCTGTGGCCATGCCGACGTCGACAGGCGTGGTTTGGTGGCCTTTAGTGGGTGAGACGTTGTGTCTTATTGTGTGCGTTTCGACTATGGGTGTGGCGTGTCGGTGGGGAGAGGCATGACGGGCGGACGGGTGCGCTGCATTCATTGTTTGTCGTGTTTAGTGGACGAGCCATCCGACACACACAGACAGACATGGGCTTCACCCAAATCGTAAGCAACGTCCCGATACACCTCACACGTGACCATGTGCAGACAGCAGCAAACGCGTCCGACACACAGACGCACAGACACACACACACGTGACACACACACACAGTGGTTCCATCGATGGATTGATGGATGGATTGATGGATGGGTGGATGATCGACACCACACGTACGGCCAGCAGCTGAGCTGCCGCCAGACCAAACCACACCAGACCAAACCACACCAGACCAGACCAGACCAGCCCCCCGCCCCCCTCTCCCCATTCACACACCAACCAAATGGATCAGATCACTCAGCCCACCCCAGCCACTCTCAAGCGGCCTCCACACAACACGCCGCTCCTCATTCACTTGTTGTCTCTGCTGTCCAGCCAGGTGGCGATAGGCCTGGCCCACAGGGACGGCGTGGTCAGCAGCTTCGCTATCGTCAGGTCCTCCTCTCGGACGAACGGAAAGAACTCAGCGAAGTCGTCTGTGGGCATCTCGACCCCCCGCTCAATCGACCAGTACTCGGCCAGGAAGTAGACCTGCCGCGCACCGACGACAAAGTTGAATCCAGGCAGAAGCAGCCACCAGACAGCCAGCGGCTCAGTTAGGCCCCTGTTCGCGAACAGCTCGTTCACCTTCTTGTACTGATGGTCCACACACACACACACACACACACGGATAGAGAGAGAGAGAGAGTCCAGCACATCCGCTGTGTCTGTCTGTCTGGGTGTGCGTACCAAGAAGTACTGGTTGAGGTAGATCCACGCGAACGCGCCCCAGAAGGCAGGCTCGAACGTATCGTAGTCGACGATCCCGGCAACCACGCCAGCCACGAACGGGGCGACAACGAGTGTGCCTCCGAGACCCTTCCCCATGAACATTCTCAGCTCCTCCTCTATCGCCCATTTGTACCACAAGTACCATGCCAAACCAATCGGGGGAGCCAGCAGCGCGATCCACTTTGCGGCCTTCGGCCATCCCTTCGGGTCTCTCTCCTCGCCCACAACAGCACCGAACGAAGGAAAGGCCCAGTTCAGATTCCTCGGCACACCCTGCAGCCGCACACACCGACAGAAGAACTTCAAGTCCGGTCGAGCCATTCTGTCCGTTGCAAATACATACCGGCAGCTGCGGCGGCTCGAAAGGCAGGGCCTCTTCGTCAGGCTCGTAGGGAAGCACCTCGGGCTCACGAATCGTCGGCTGCGGGGCGGTCCATGGGAAGCGAAACGCATTCAGGCGAGATAATGACGAGTAGCTAGGCCCGGCGGCGGCTGAGGTGGAGTGCATAAGAGGCGCCACAGGCGAGCGGACAGGTGATGGGGATATCGATGTGAAGGTGGGGAGAGAACGGTGGACAGCTGCGGCTGCAGAGGATGCGACGATGCCGAGGAACGGAAAGATCTGGAGCGGAAGGCCTTGCATCTTGCAGAGAGGGCCTCAGATCGCCAAACGATCGACCTCGGCGACCAGTGGCATTTAGCTCGCATGAGGGCAGCGGTGGAGAAGCAAAAAGAAAAGGCTAAAGGCTCCTCTCCAGCCCTTCTCCAGCCTTGAATTCGGCAGTTGTTGTGTTTGCGAAAAGCGAGAACAGTGCAAGAAGAGCCCAAGACAAGCGTGCTTTATTGATGAGTCTGGTGGAGCTACAGACACATCTTGATGACACCGGCGACAAGGTGCTATCGTTCTTCAACCCAGATCTGCCAGCCGACCCGCCCAACCGCGGCCGCTTCCTCCTCTCGGGCAGCGAGGCCTTCCTCACCGCAGCCGCATACGTCCTCTTCGTCACTCTCGCGCCCCTTCTCGTCAAAGCACTGTTCGGCAATGGCAATGGCAATGGCGAGGGGAGCGAGGATGCAAAGGCGGCAGGATGCAAGACGACTGTGCTTGGGAAGTTCGCCAGGGAGCCGATCCTGTTCGTGACGGTCATCTACAATGCGGTGCAGGTGGGGCTGTGCAGCTGGATGGTCTGGGCGGCCATCGACTACTTCTGGCGGCACAAGTACAAGCTCGTGTGCAACGCGTATGACCCACACGAACCAGGTCGGGGGGTGCACCGACCGGTGGGGTGGGATGGTGGGTGGAAGCCGGCCTGCCTGCCTGCCTCTGCCTACTTCGTGTAGCTAGCTATGTGCCTGCGTGTGAGTGTGTGCTGCGTCGTGTTGCTGCCTGCATTGTGTCTTGTCTTGTCTTGTCTTGTCTTGTGCAGGCATGGCGTGGCTCGTCTGGGTCTTCTACCTGTAAGCACAGCGCAGCGCAGCCATCCCACCCATCCACCACACCACACGACGCACACACACGGATTGGATTGCTTCGGCAGCTGCAGTGCAGTGCAGTGCAGTGCTCTCTCTGTTGTCTGTCACGTGATGTGTTGTGATGCATAGTTCCAAGGTGTTGGATTTCCTGGACAGCGTGTTCATCGTGGTGCGGCGCAAGTGGCGGCAGCTGTCCTTCCTGCATACGTACCACCACACGACCATCTTCCTCTGCTACTGGCTCAACGCCAACGCGGGATACGACGGAGATGTCTACCTCACCATCATTCTCAAGTAAACCTAAGCGACGACCAACACACACACACAGAGAGAGAGAGAGAGAGAGAGAGACAGGCAGGCCGAACGAGGTGGATGGGCGCTGGTGGTCTGTCTGTGTGTGTGTCAGTGGGACTGTGCACATCGTCATGTACTTCTACTACCTGGTGCGGACATTGGAGGTGCCGGTGCCCAAGCTGCTGAAGCAGGCCATCACGCACCTGCAGAAGGTGCAGTTCGTCCTGATGAACAGCCAGGCGGCCTGGCTGCTGGCCAACGGCTGCCCCTACCCCCCTCGCGTCACCTGGATGTACCTCATCTATATCATCTCCCTGCTGCTGCTCTTCCAGGACTTTGCCAACAGGGAATACGGTCAGTCAGTCAGTCAGTGGGGTCTTATGGGTGGCTGTGGCTGTGTGGTGATGTGATGTGTTGTCTTGTGAGGTGCGTGCAGGCAAGAAGAAGAAAACGGCTTGACTTACTTGACGAGGTGGAGTGGCCCCGGTTCAGGAAGGTCCTGCTGGCTGCTTGCTTTGAATGAATGGAATGAAGAGCAGAGAGAGGGATGCATAGTTTGTTTTGATCAGATCAGATCTGATCCCGTCCATCGCATCGCATCGACACATCCATCCATTCATCCATCAGCAGCACACATGGCATGGCCACACAGACATATGTATGTGTATTTATTTGTTCGGTTTATCTCCTGGAGATGTGTGTGTGTGTGTGTGCTGTGGGGGATGGATGGATGGTTTTCTCACTCCTGTGTCAGTCGACTGACTGACTGACTGACTGACGCACTGCACGGCGGATGGACGGATCTATGGGGTGGGGGGGGGGGGGGGGGGGGGGG